ACAACTGGAGCATCTCTGTGTATGAAGTATACAGAGATGCTCCAGTTGTCAACTCATATAGTTGACAAGGTGAGGAAAGTTGACAAGGTGTTGTGCAAACCCCATTCATTGGGTAAGTGATAATTATATATATTAATTTTAGGAATTGAAGGGTGGTAGGAAGGGTATGTGTAAACAATATGAAATAATGGGAATGAAATATAATAATTATGAGTAACATTATTATTTGTATTGAAATGTATGATACCCAGGTATCACACTATTCACACATTGGAATGTATAAATAATATAATATAAAAACCTTGTTTGAAAAAAAAAAAAAGTAGGTGGGTCCCTGGATTGCAATTCCTACAGAAGCAGATAGGGTGTCAGCCCTGGGCTGACATATGGCTGACTTGCTAATATCTTACAATTGGCTATCATGCACGTGGGACTTTCATACCGTTTTTACAGCCTTGATAAAGTTCAAACTTTCCTCCTCTACGTCTTGCTTCAGAAGTCCAAACCTTTTCCCATATAGCACCAGGCAAATACCTAGTGGGGGAAAAAAAAAAGAATTCATAGCAAAACCATTTCCAAGAATCTTGACTACATTTTCCTTAACGTATCTCTGATGCCCAATCCTCTCATTTTGATGCAATTAATATATAATGTCCATTATTGGTAATACAGCTTTTGAAGCCCCAAGGACAATGCATTCAGTAATAATCAACTAGCTAGAGTTCTTCTCTATATGGAGGACCTTTATTTATTTATAAGATTTTTATTCCATCTTTATTATTTTATAAGTAACTCAAACTAGCAAACATGCCTAAAATTCCTTCCTCCTCTTATTTTCTCTATAACCCTATGAGGTGGATTGGGCTGGAAGAGAATGATTGGCCCAAAGCCACCCAACCGGCTTTCATGCCAAAGGTGGGGCTCGAACTCATGATCTTCTGGTATTTAGACCAGCAATTTAACCACTACACCAAACTAGCTCTTCATCTAATCTTTACCTGGTGTGGTGGGGGAAGGAATTCCAGAATTCTTAGCCAACATAACCATCCTGGTTAAGACATTCTGAGAACTCCAGGTTGGGGAAAGCTAACTTGCATGTATACATCTTTAGTATAGAGAAAAAGCAGAAATGATCTCAGAATGAATGAAAAAAATCTTACTTTCAAATGACCACTTGTTCAGCGTAGAATATAAATCTTCTATTTCTCCATTCTTGTTACAGAGTGTGTCTATCTGATGCATAAAATCAGCTAGGACCTGTGGAAGAGATTGAAAAGATCTCTTAGTGTTCTGCTTCAGTGAAATGAAAGGTCATTAGGAAGTACCGGTAAATCAAATTTTAAAATATTAATGTCATAAGGCTTTCAAGTCTATGGTGTGCCAATTCTACACTTGGAATATCATGTACCGTTCTGATCAGTGCATCACAAAACAGATGCCGTGGAAAACATACAGAAACGAGGTGATCAAAATTATCATAGGGTTGGAAAAGCTCTATTCATTTGGTAACTTTAACTAAGACAGAAGTGAAAAATATATTAGTAACTGATAGATACTATATAATGTGCTAGTCGTTCTCAACTCCAGGGGGCGGTGCTCATCTCAGTTTCAAAGCCGAAGAGCCAACACTGTCTGAAGACGTCTCCATGGTCATGTAGTCGGCATGACTAAACGCCAAAGGCGTACGGAACGCTGTTACCTTCCCACCAAGGGTGGTCCCTATTTTTCTACTTGCATTTTTACATGCTTTCGAACTGCTAGGTTGGCAGAAGCTCACTCCATTATGTGGTGCTAGGGATTCGAATTGCTGACCTCTCTGATGGACAAGCTCAGCGTCTTAGCCATTGAGCCACCATGCCCCTTGATAGATACTAGTGAAATCGTAACGTGAAATAGGAATTAAGTAATATGCTTTTAAACCACTTGCCCCCGAAGGCTAGATATGAATATTTGCTCTTCACATTAATATTTCCTCTTCCTGCATATAGAAATTTGGCATGCTTAGAAGGAAGTTGTAGCCTTCAATTTTCTCTCATGTGATACATTTCTACATGCCAGGGAAAGCAGTGAGATGCATTCAAAATTATTGTTTCAACTAGATTTCCAACTGGCATAAGTTAAGAAAGATTTCACATGGTTTGTGAAATTTCTCCCCTTCCTCTTTTACAGCTGTCTTATAATAACAAGAGTGTTCAAAAGTACAAATTACACCCGTGTCTGGATCAGACCTTTCTTGTGCAGTACCTCATTGATTTTAATGTCCAACTTCACAATTTCCAAGGGTTTCATTAATTTCTTCTGAAATGCACTTCTTACTCTCTGCCAGTCCTTCCCTTCTCTGTGAAAAACAAACATTCAAGTGATTAAAAGATTTTTTTTTAACATTTCCTGGTTAAAATGAAAGGTATATGCGGAAATGTTAAAACAATATTAAATCTGGACATTAAATTTCGTAAGAGAATGCTAATACAGTTTAAGGAAGATAACAAGCAGACTAATCAAGTTTGATAATATGGAAAATTGATTTGTAGCCCAATATATTATTTATTTTCTATAAAATAAAGACAAAATTTCCCTTTAGTCAAACTTGAGCCCTGGGCACACATGGAAATGTACCTTATGCATGTGGCTTTCTGCTGCTTTTTACTGGAATTCTCCTGATTTAATCTCACCTAAAACTCTGAGAGTCCTGTTTAGCTTTTAGGAAGATGCACTAGATATTTCCATTGCCACTGATCTTTGGAAGAAATAACTGAAAGTGATCAGTGATCTCTTACTTTTACTGAGATATTAAATTACCATTATAAAGCATTCTTCACATTCTGCATTTCCCTTCTGGCTTGACTGTTATCTTATGTGCTTTAGTTCTAAAACTGCCTTTTTTCCTGCTGCAATTTTTCCATTCTAATGTTGCCAGGAGGGTTAGGTCCAAGTTAACCAGAGGCAATGCTACAAATTGCTTCTCTACACTGGTCCGCTGATAACCTTGCTTGCTTCCAGGATAAAACAGCAGAACATAGTCCCATAAGCCAAAGAAAACCTAAACAAATAGGTTTAATGCATAAAGTATCCACCACCCACAAATGGCACTTTGACTTTTCTCCCATCATCATTTCATATTTCTAAATTCCAAAGATTCAAACGTGTTTATAAAACAACAACCTGAAATCTTTGCTCTTAGCATCCCTTGCGTTTAAACCTCAAGCCAAACATAAGCACGGGGCATTCTCAGCATAAAGTGATATGTGTCCTTCCAAGTCTTTACTCACAGAATAAGTAGCCCATAGCCCTCTTTACGGTAGTCTCGATAGGCTTTCCAGGGCTTAATCTCCAGGCGCTGAGGATAAGCACCCTCTTTTCTGTAGAGAGACTCTAGCAGACAGGGTGCGCTTATATGAACCGAGTCAAAACTCCCAAGTTTCATGCGGAAGATTTTGCCAAACCGCTGGTGGTACTCAGCCTTGAGAAGAAAGAAAAAGGAAGGAAGGAAGGAAGGAAGGAAGGAAGGAAGGAAGGAAGGAAGGAAGGAAGAGGGGAGGTTAAATTGGGCAGCTAAGGACTCCGTCACCGAGGCTCACCCATCTCACAAAACTCTTTGCAAGAAGAGGCGAATAAATACACCGTATGGCACACACAACTTTCAGTTCACACACTCGATGTCTAGCATTTTAAAAGACGCGGCTCCTGCAGGCAAAAGATGGATCAGAATAAGTCTGTTCAAACGGTGGCAGTGGGGAGGCTTATATTAAGCATTGGATTAAGAACCTCCTAGTGTCGTTGATGTAAGAACATGTTGTTTCAAAAACTGCTTGCTTCTTCTTCCTTAGGAAGTTTTTTAAAACAAGATGCAGGAATGGTCACCCGTTTAAGGATGCCCCAATGACTGATTCCCTGCGTTGGTTTGAAGACTGACTGGATTAACTTGATCCAATTTGTAGGGATTGATGCTGTCTGGGAATTTGGCCATCGGTCCCTCGATCACAACGATAGGGGATGCTGAACTAGACGATCTTGGAAATACTTTCCAAACTCTTAAAAGAGATATTTCTCAATCCTGCCATTAAAACCTCAGGGAGGGTTAGCAACTACTTTTGCCATTCGAAGAACTGCCCGTTCTATCATACGTGACCCCTTGGGCTAGGGATCTATTGGGAAGGGAGGGTGGTGGGAGAAACACAGGTTACTCACCAGCGTCTGGTGTTGTTTCTTGAGGCCCCCTTTCCAGAGGATGTCTAAGAGGCTGCCCATCAGAGGCCATTTGACCGGACCGGGAAGGGCAGAAAGTGAATGGGGAGCGTGCATGGGGCAAGAAGGAGGCACTTGCGTCTTGGGCTCTAAGGCGCACGCGGACGAAGTGGGCACCTGTTGCTGCTGCTGCAAAGCAGCCGCGCTCCCAGGACCTCGCAGCTTTAGGAGAGAGCTGAGCAGCGGGGCTCGCTTCAAAGGGGAACTCATGATTCTGATACTGGATGGAAGGATGGATGGATGTTTCAAACGCAGGCGAATCTCCAGCTGAGGGAAGGCTATATGCTGAAAAGTCAGGCGCGGGAGGAAGGCGGAGAAGAGGGAACCTAGAAGGGACGCGATCTAGAAAGCCCTGGCAGTCGGGATCCCTGGCGACCAGAAAGAAACTTTTTTTTTCTGGAGTCAAGTGGCGTCGGATGTGGGGAATCTGTCTCCCCTCGCGCAACGCCAAGCAAGGTCTGGAGCCCGGCGGGATGAGGATGCTGCTCTCTCTCCGCTCAGGTCCCCATAGCGCGGCGGAACGAGGCATATATAGCGTTGAGGAGGCCGGCTGCGGGACTTGCCAATTGGAAGGCAGGGGAGGAGTGCAAAGCGCTGGGTGGGGTGGGAAGGCGACGCCTCCGGGGAAGCCTCGGCGGGCCGGATCCAGCGATCGCTCAGGCGAAGGCGCCGCTCTCCCCTCCTCCCTGCTGCCGGGGACTCCCCGGGAAGGCGGAAGGTAGCTTGCGGCCATCTGGCCGCGTTCCTCCCAGGGACGAGTCATCCTGGAGAACTCCCGGTTCTTGGCGAGCCCTTCTCCTCCGGGAACCCAGCGAGGGACCTTTCCCGCCTGGGATCGCGGTGGCTGCGCTTCGCAGAGTCAGGTGGAAGCCGGCCGTAGAGGCGGAGAGTTGGGAGAAGAACCGGGGACGGAGGAGGGCGCAGCGCATTCTCTTACTCTTTAACCTTGCGTAACGCGCTCCTTCGTTCCGGGAAACCCTCAGGCGAACGCGGCAACTTACTCAACCGGCGAGAGGATTGTCCACGCTGAGCGGGACGGACAAACGATCCATTGTGATCCACTGCCCCCCCCCATCCCCTGCCCTTGTCCAGAATTAGAACAAGAATAGAGCCGGAAGGGACCCTGGAGGTCTTCTACTCCAGCCCATCCTGCTCAAGCAGGAGAACCTGTCCTCTGTCCAGTTAAGTCTTCCATTCTTCCGTGTTGAGGTTAGAGAAAATAAAAAACACGCTTTAATCTGATTTGAGGGATAGGCAACAGCAGACTGTTTTTTCTATAATTCCATCATTCCCAGCCAAGCTGTTTTTGAATGCTGCCTCTGGCTGGGATGTATGATTTTTTTTAAAGGTCGAGGAAAATTGAGTTAGAATATTGCTCTGTAAACTTCTTGAGTTTAATTGAAAAAGCAGCGTGTGTTCTTAAGGAATGTATGGGGGATCTTTAGCATAATTTAGCATAATAAGGGATATATAGTATCCTGGGCTAGCTAAATTCTTTGATAGGCTGTTGCTATTGCAGCCACCTGGGGAGAGATATTGTCCTATTAATGTTGATGGGAAATATTTGGAGGACGGTGATTGGTTGAGAAACAGCCAATGGCTTGTCTTACCCACTCTAAATTGCAAGCTTTTCCCTCCCTTCTCACTCCACCCCTAAAATTTACCAATGACTGGGCAAACTGGTCGGGTCACATAAATACACTTCCTTTATAAGGACCATGGCGATGTGGAAGATAAAGTTTACACATCATGGCTCAATCAATGTCAGATTAAGCAGGAACCTTTCCAGAATGCAACCCAAGATTGTTTAAACATAGGCTGGGAGGGAAAAGGGCAAGCTGGTATGAAAGAAGGAAAGCGTCAGGAATGCCATAGTGCTCTGACCCCAATATAAACTGCAAGAGGGGAGACAATCTCAGAACTTGTCTGAAGAATAGGGGCCATTTTGACTTTGATGTTAGTTCTGGGTAAATACAGGTAGTCCTCGACTTGCAACAGTTCATTTAGTGACCGTTCAAAGTTTAAATGGCAAGTGAAACAAGTGACCATTTTTCACACTGAAGACCCATGGTCACATGAGCCAAATTCAGATGCTTGGCAACTGGTTCACATTTATGACGGCTGCCTAGTGTCCTAGTGTCCTGCTTTTTTTTTTTTTATTAGTAATATATATTTTATTATGTTTTCATTCTATACATTCACATATTCACTGTGCTTAATCAGGGCATATAACATTGAATAATAAACGAGTTTGATCCTAGGCAGAGGCTGATATTTCTCTCTCTGGACACAATGAGACTATATCTGCTGAACAAGACTCTGCTTTGGCAACAGGAAGGGCATCTGGCCAGTAAACACGGCTCCATTCACTTGCCCTGACTCCATCCTGCAAGGGATGGAGCCGAGGTGGTGCAGTGGTTAAATGCAGCACTGCAGGCTACTTCAGCTGACTGCAGTTCAGCAGTTCGG